TTTGTGGTTGCTGTCTTGCCCATTCAGGAGTCATGTGAACAACCAGGAAATTGGGGGAAGAGTGGATGAGTAGGAATTCGGCCCCCCTCACTCCTCACAAAGTACCATCCCTCCACTCGCTTGGGTGTGGGTGCACATAAGGCAGGTGTGTGCCACACTGCAGGGGCCAGTTCCATGACGAGCACCACCCTGGAGAGGCCTGGGGGTTGGAGGATGTCCAGCAGCTGATGTTGTTGGTCCTGGACTTCCCCCAAAGGAATCTGCAGGTCCGCAGCCACCCTTTATAGCAGGTTCTGGTATTGCCAGTGATCATCCTGCTGAGAGAGTGGGAGAGGGATGATCGCCTCGTCCAGCAACAAGGATGCTCTAGTAGGGACAGGTGGAACAGACAGTACCAGCTCGATATCCTCCCCTTTCTCGTACACCAACAAGGCAGGCAGGTGTACAGGGGATGCCTGGCATGAAGCCTGGGATGGTTCTTGATGTCTCTGGTCCTCAAAGGCCAGAAGGAGGGGTCTATCGGTTGCGGCAGGCCCCATGGGAAAGTGGCACCAGGCCTCAGTCTGGAAGTTAGGGAGGTCTGGTTCACACATCCAGGCTCTGGTCTGGCATCAGGGAAGATGGCAGTTCCACATCCGAGAAGTCCTCAGAGTCGGAAGATGGTGTTATCAATGGCATAACCGCTGGTACCAGAAGGCTGCAGTGCAGCGTGAAAGGAGCAGTTTCTCTGGTAGGAGGAGAGGGGTTCAACCTCTGCCATGGGGATGTCCCATCTGAGTGGAGGGCCCCAGAGGAGCAGAGACTGTGGGTAGGGGAGGATCAACTCCTCTGCCATGTGGCCGGGGTCCATGGAGCACCCATCGAGATGGCTGAGGTACCTGGTGGAGAGTGTGGGGTCAACTGGTCCGCAGGACACTGTCGGAGCAGGTGGTGTCATGTGCATCAGTGAGCATTCTGGAGGTTTCGGTACTGGGTTTGCCATCGGATCCCATCTGCTTTTCCCTCCAGCCAGGGGGGTCTTCAGTGCCAGCCTGGCAGGAGCCATGCACGATGTCTCACCCAACCTGGCACGGCGCGATTCGGGGAGGGAATCCTGCACTTATGAGCAGTCCTCTGCGGGGACCTGCTCTTGTGACTGAGAATGTTTTTTGCTTTCATGCCAGGACTTGTCCTTGTCCTTCAGTATCAACGGTTCTGCAACGTAAGTGGTGCTTAGAGAGGTGCTCGCGGTAAGTTGTGGCTACTGCACAGGGAGTCCTCCTGGGCCAGGATCCAAGTGTGCTTGGGGTCACATAGCCTCTTCCATGAGATGCTTACGGAGACAGAGTTCACAGGCTTCCTTGGTCCTGGGCAGGAACTTTCAGATAACAGCAGCGCACATCTCAGCACAGTGAGCTAAGCGCTGTGGAATGTCGTTGCTGCTGCAACATTGTCAAGGCTGCTAAGCTGTTACAGTTGTTCAGTGCTTCCGTTCTTGGATCTCTGGCATTATCAGCATGAGCAGAGAGCAGTCTTAATTCAGCAAACCTCAATGTTACTCCAGAAAGACCGCAGGCTCGGTTCAGTGGCGAAGGCACTCAGCCGAGTTTATTGTTGACGAAACATACTAGTGTCCTGGGTCCGTGGTTACAGGTACACTAACAAATGTATGCCTGCGACAATGGTACCAGGTCATCCAGCACACCAGGATGCTGCCCCCTAAGCTGGATATAGGTGCCCCTCCTATGACTTCTCTTTTTATACACTGATACAAATAAGTTACGTATTACGCTCCTGACGTGGTTAGTTACCAAGCCTACACCTTGTACCTGCTAGTTCAAACAAAACATCCTTATCCATTAGCCTGTTGTCCCATCCTTATCTTACAAGAGGTTGGTGTGTTCCTGTACCATGTGTTTATGTATTTACTTGAGAATCTGGATGTTCTTGTACCATTCTCTCTGGTCAGGAATGTGCAGGCCTACTCTGTGAACCAAAGGCTGTGAACCAGTTAGTTATGCCTAGGGGCACGTCTTCACTACCCGCCGGATCGCGATCTATCTATCGGGGATCGATTTATCACGTCTAGTATAGACGCGATAAAATCGATCCCCAGTGGCTCGGCCGTCGACTCCGGAAATCCACCGCGGCAAGAGGCAGAAGCCACCGTCCTCACAGCCAGGTAAGTCTACCAAAATACGCAACTTCAGCTATGCTAGTCACGTAGCTGAAGTTGCGTATCTTAGGTCGACCCCCACCCCCCCGCCGTAGTGTAGACCTAGCCTAGGGCTCCAGCAAGGCCTACATACACCCCACCTAGACAGTAGAGGTACTACTGGTGCTCATTGGTCACGGAGAAGGAGTGCAGCAGGAGACACTGTTTTTGAAGCCCAGGATCCTGGGTATATTCCCTGGTTGGGATGGAATCACACTTCTAGTATACTAGAACTACTAAAAACTACGTACACATATATAAATGGAGAAATAACTCTCTTAGCGAGCTAAGAGCGAAAGGAACAAGAGGTTTTGGACTCAGTGCCCCTTACTCTCAAGTGAAGCACTGGAAAATGGGTCCTTGGGCTTTACAGCTTTAGGCTCTGCTCTCAAGCTCATGTCCAGAGGGCTGCTGCTTGTCAGTTGGGGCCGACATATAGTGGATTTCCCTGGCTCAGATCAGAGTGAGGGCTCATAGCCTTCTGGGTGTTTCCTCAACCAAAGCTGATGAGGGGGGAAACGAGCAAAAGATGCCGCACTTCGAGGAAATATGCATCTTACCCAAACAGTAGAAGTTGGTGGTAGTCTCTCACACGGAAAGAACAAGGGCAAGAGACCCAATTCTTGAACTCTGGGCATAGATCCAGACTATGAGCAGGACTTCCCAGCAAAGGGAAAAACAAGATATATAAACTATACTATAAAAAAAATATAACTATGCTAGCCTAAAAACTATTTGTGATATCTATTTACAGGCTATAAAAAAAGAAGCTGGAGAAATCTGTAGACAAAGGATTCCGACTGAGGCCATGCAGTGGTAAGAAGGAGAGGCATCAGCCTGCAGTCTCTTATACCTTTGGTCTGGAGTACGAGGATATTGACTGTATATATACTGCCCAATGGACACAGCTTATTAAGAATCTCTGGGACTCGGATGCATGCATTCCTACATATAGAGTACACATAGGTACCAGCACTCAAAGAACTAGTGGTATAGACCAACTTTTCTGTGTATTATTAGATGCTCCCAAGGAAGGGAAACAGACCAGGATTGAGAAACCAACCTAGTCACTCGGTCAAATGTGAGAGGAATGTGGGCCCCATACCCAAAGGAAAGAAACAAGGAACTTGGCATTAGCCAGTGTGGGCACAAGGAAAGATCAAAGACCTTTCGAGGGCTAGGCACAGTTACCTCCTCCTCCTATATATTACATTTTGTTGTACTGTACAATAATGCTCAAAAATCAGATGGTTGTGAAAACGAGAGCCATGCTGGGGAAGGCAGGCTGGTAGAATTGTGAATGACTAAAAACCACTGTGGTCAGAGCCCATCAGGCTGTCAGACCAAGGGAGTTGAAAGGAGAGAACAATTGAAGAGCTCACAATCTCTTTCTTTCCATCATATCAAAGATTTACTGCATGTACCAAACTAAGAAAAGACTGAAAGCTGAAACAAGGTTAACAGGCAGTATCAGCATGGAACTGGAATACAATCAATCAGAGACCTAAGCACTATTAAATCACCTGAAGGCACTCAATTAAGTGGAATTACCAGTCCAATTACACAGCAGCCATTGCCATTTAGTATCAGGTTTAAATTGATTCCTTTGCAGACCTCCCACTTAAGCAGAATTTCCAGTAAAGGCTTGGTCTACACTACATACATACTTTGGTATAACTATGTCACTCAGAGGTGTGAAAAATCCACATCTCTGAGCCATGGTTATATTGACCTTAACCCCAGATAGACAGTGCTATAACACAAGAAAGTATTTTTTCATGCAACACACTGTCAACCTCTAGAACTCCTTGCCAGAGGGTGCTATGAAGGCCAGTACTATAATGGGGTTCAAAAGGGAGCTAAATAGATTCATGGAAGATAGGTCCATCAATGGCTATTAGCCAGGATGGGCAGGAATGGTGTCCCTAGCCTCTGTTTGCCAGAAGCTGGGATTGGGTGACAGAGCATGGATCACTTGATAATAACCTGTCGGTTCATTCCCTTTGGAGCACCTGCCATTGGCCACTGTCAGAGGACAGGATACTGGGCTTGATGGACCTTTGCTCTAACCCAGTATTGCCGTTCTTATGTAACATAGCTACCGCGTCTTGTAGAGGTGGAGTTATTAAGCCAATGGGAGAGCTCTCTCCTGTTGGCATAGAGCATCTTCGCCAGATGTGCTACAGCTGTAGTGTAGACCTGTCTTAAGAGTGCCAAGAATAAGTGGCAGATACTGTATAGAATTTTCATTAGAATTTGTTCTCTTTGGTAAACTGTAGTTATGCTAACACAGAGAGTAGAGTTCATTCTTCCATCAGCAGGTGGACACTATGGACTACACATATATAAGGTATTCTTGAGGCAGGGGGTGAGTAGTTAAAACTCCTCCAGTCACAGCTGTTTTCCCATATTGAGCAGGGTAAACAAGCTTCTAAAATTTGGCTCAGGTAGCTATTTATTCAATTTTTCTCTTACATATTTCTCTAACATTAAATTCCTTTAATTATTATTATTATTAACAACTAGTCTGGTTCTTCCTCATACTATATGGTTTATCTTATAAAGTTAACTTTATAAGTATATGTAGTTTGATTTTCCTTTGATCTCTTCTCAGTTTGTGTGGCTACCTGATAGTTTATTGTTCTGTTTCTTTCAGATTTACAAATGTAGCATTCTAAATGGACTTTTCCCCATCTTTGTAATTCTTAAGTTTATTAAAAATGTTTTTTGTGTAATAGCCTTGTTGAATACATATATAAATACCACAATATAACCACAAATCTGTATATTTATATCTGTTTTTTACCTCTACACAGGTTTTCATCCCTGAGGCAGCAGCATAATGCAAAGGTGTATTTTTTTTATTATCAACAGCATCAATAGCTGCTCTTTCATATTCTCCTTGGTCAAGCTTTGCTCCTTTCCATTTTAGGATCATTTGCAGACACTCTGCTCTTCTGATGTCATCTTCAGAGGGTCGTGCCAAGCGAGGATGGAGAGCTCCCTCAGCGATCATAATTTGAGGTCCCATACACAGCAAGTGCATAGATGTCTCATTGTGCACATTTCGTTTATTTGGGTTTCCATCTCTAACAAAAAGAAAAGTCCTACATGGAAACATGAAGAAAAATAGTCAGATATAATGTAATTTATTATTTTGATACAGTAAGTTAAAGCAGAGAAGTTCCATTATGGCTGCTACTCTCTTCTAGCCAAGATTTTGAATTTATCCAATTCAGTGATAAATTAAAAATATTTCACAGGTGTGAACAGCTGGTTATGACCTTAGTCTCTTGAGTTGTGCTGCTAAAATATGGAAGTAAAACTAAAAATATTATTAATCTTTCTCATTTGTGTGGTGCTCCTGGGTTGCTTTAAATTGCCCCCTTCATTCTCTTCCAAAGGCCCCAAATTGCTTTGACCTTCCTTTCCATGGAAGAAGGCTGGATGTAACTCACTCCAGAGTTCATGGATCCTGCTCTGAATGCTGACTCTCATTCAAGAGAGACTTGAGGTGTGTTTCTTCCCTCCAGGCACAATTACTCCCAACCCCTGTCCATTACTCTTGGAAGTGAGTAACTGTCAAAATCAGCCATAAACTCTAGTCTCAGAGTAGCAGTAAACTACAGCACCACCAAAACACCCCTGAATAGTGTATTTTACTCACAATGCAAGAAAAAAAAAATCTTCTGTGCAATAAATACAACTGATACACGAAGAAACAGAAGAAGATTCAGAATACATATTAAAATTCGTATCTTAGCAGAATTTGTAAATATTCTGACATGGATCACTTCTATTTATTGACTTATTGTTTTAATACTGATATAACTCATGATTTGCAAAAGCACGCCGACAGTTACAGACTTTTCCACCTTTAAAATGCAGTCAGTGTTTTTTAACAATATCTTTTCTTATTTTTTCCCCCACCAGACACTAACTCATTCAAGACAAAGGTACCAATGATTTTCTTTCTTCAAAGTATTTCATAAGTATTTTAAAATTTAGATAGTTATTTTTTTTTCGACTAGCAATGCAAGAATCGAGAAAAGTTTCTTCCACAATATGTAAAGTTTTACACTCAGAGGTCTAAGGCTTGGTCTACACTAAACCCCCAAATCGAACTAAGGTACGCAACTTCAGCTACGTGAATAACGTAGCTGAAGTCGACGTACCTTAGTTCGAACTTACCGCCGTCCAGACCCGGCAGGCAGGCTCCCCCGTCGACTCCACGTATTCCTCGCGGCGAGCAGGATTACCGGAGTCGACGGGGAGCACTTCTGAGTTCGATTTATCGCGTCCAGACTAGACGCGATAAATCGAACCCAGAAGTTCGATTGCCTGCCGCCAAACCAGCGCGGTAAGTATAGACAAGCCCTCAGTAATGAGCCCCTCCCCGCTCCAAGGAATGAGGGGCTTAAGTAGGGGCTGCCAGTCTGGTTCTCCCCCTCCTAAGCAAATGAGTGGGAAGGGGATAGAGCCTGGTTTTTGTCCTGCTCCCAATGCAAAATCTCATGCCCCAGAGCCAGTCCATATGGGGAAGTAATATGCACCAGTGAAAAGGTGCAGCTTTCTTCTCCTCTGAAGCTATGGGAAAGCAACAGATTGTGATTCCTGGAGTCACAATCTGGTTCCTGCTCAGCTTTACATTACCCCTTACACAGGCAGGATTATAAAATTACAATCCAGTTTTGAGAGAAGAGAATTAGGGCATGTTACACCAGTACAATGCGGTCCCAACTTGATTGGGCCCTTGGGCTCTACTGGAAAAATAATTATCCTTAAGGGAACATAAGCAATTGGCAATTTGTGGGAGGGAGAAAATGGGGTCTTTGTAAATGGCTGGGAGGAATCTGCAGCAGGGTAATGAATTCAAGGGAAAAAGAAAGATAATAGCAGGGAATGGAGTGGGAAGCAGAATGGATCAGCTGGGAGGAGCTAGGAGATGGACCAGGGACTTTGCATGCATTCGAAAAGGTCATTTGCAGAGACACAACTGCTCCAACCCCAGCCACATGCAAAATCAGCCAAACTCTCGGTCCACCCATACTCCAGCTGCTCCTTGCTTTAATGTGAAGTCCTTCGGACTCCCTCCTCACTCACCTCACAGCTTGTGAGAACCAAAAGAACCCAAAATACAGTAATACTTAATTTGTAACTGTATTTTGGAATTTCACTGAAGACATGTAAGGGCATGAAAAAATAACCTGAAAGCCAGTTAAAAAGTAGTTCCCAGTTCCTTTCAGCCACCAGCCTTATTGACCACCAGCCTTATAAGACAAATGAAGAGATTGAATTTTTTTTTAAAAGTACTCTGTCTGCCATATTTGAAAAGGTGACTTATTTTATACTATCTGCTTTTTCATTTTACTCATATTTACTTCAGTCTTTCTTTCCAAAGAGCATCTGTTGTGACGCTGGCAGACCAGGTCAGATCAGGGCCACAGGCCAATTTGGTTGTACACCTTTACCCCAATATAACACTGTCCTTGGGAGCCAAAAAATCTTACCACATTATAGGTGAAACCGTGTTATATCGAATTTGCTTTGATCCGCCGGAGTGCTCAGCTCTATCCCCCAGAGCACTGCTTTACCGCGTTATATCCGAATTCGTGTTATATCAGATCGCGTTATATCGGGGTAGAGGTGTATTAGTATAGACCTAAGTGAGTAATGTATAAGTATGTATTCAGATGTTTAAACTTTATGAAAACTAGTGAAATGTTATTTGTATTGTTTTCACTTATCTGTTCCTGTTATAAAGTAATAGCAAACATTTGCATTGTGTATACCCATGTAACTAAATAACCCACTAAAGAAACTTTGTGAAATGCTAATGAAGGACTTTATCAGAAAAGATGCTAATTCCAAAGCAAAAGGCATCATGATGATGACCAGAGGTCAAAAGACTAAGTATATTCGTCACTCCTTATCATCAAAGAAAAAGCCATGTGAGCAGAGACACTGTCAGCTTGTCTTCTGTCAGAAGAAGATATAAAAATGGATTCAAAGATAGATCGCTCATCTCTGGCCTGTTTGGACTCTTACAGGGAATGTACCATATGCAAAACAGAGATCCCCAGAGACAATCTTGGTACCCTGAAAGACTTTTGAGAAACTGCAGTTCATTACATCACTGCCACCAATTGGAGTTACAAACTGTGATTCACCTGTATATATATTTTATCTGCTTCAACCTCTCAATAACTCTCATTCTTTTTTCTTAGCTAATAAATCTTTAGTTAGTTTACTATAGAATTGGCTGCCAGCATTGTCTTTGGTGTAAGATCTGGAGTACCAATTGATCTGGGGTAAGTGACTGGTTTCTTGGGACTGAGAGAAATCTGATGTGCTGTCATTTTTGGTTAAAGTGACCATTAATCACAAAGTTCAGTTTGTCTGGGTAGCAAGATAGGCTGCAGAATCTAAGGGGACTGTCTGCAACTCCATGGTAAGACTGGTAGGGCGACCGAGGAATTCACATTTGTTAAAGGCTTGATGAAATCTAATTACAGAAAACTCCATCAGTTTGGGGTATCTGCCCTGTTTCTGACAGTCTGCCCTGAGGTACGCACTCACAGTTGTTAGTCACTCCAGACAGCGTGACATGTGCATTTAATGTTTTCAAGGTAGATAGACTTTACATTCTTCTAGCAAATTTAGGATGATAGACAGAATTACTAAACTATCAACCTTAAAAAAAATTGTGCAGTAATTTCCTACCATCATTTCCTATTGTGACCTCTAATCTGACCCTAGAACATTTACTACAGATATCTCAATATTTATTCCACTCTGTATGCATCCGAAGAAGTGGGCTGTAGTCCACGAAAGCTTATGCTCTAATAAATTTGTTAGTCTCTAAGGTGCCACAAGTACTCCTGTTCTTTTTACTACAGATTGTTCATCTGTAAAACATTTTAGTCAACAAATAAACAACTTCTCTTAAGAGAGAAGTGGAAAATTGAAGCACATATAATAGCAAGAATCTTTTATAGTTTACAGTTATTGCATGTACTAATTAACTATGACAAAGAGTCTTTATAAAAGATAGTATCTATGAAGCAATAATTAGACTGGATACAAGAAATGTAAAAATTTGCAAGCAGAGACATTTAAGTCTGGTACAGTGACCTTTCAGAATTCAAAAATTTTCCATGAAACATACTCCAGGTTTTAAATCAGTCATTTTCAAATTCTTGATTTGGTGACTCCTTTCACACAGCAAGCCTCGGAGTGCAACTCCCCCTTATAAATTAAAAACATTTTTTTTATATTTAACACTATTATAAATGCTAGAGGTGAACCGGGGTTTGGGGTGGAGGCTCACAGCTCACAACTCCCCACATAATAACCTCATGACCCCCTGAGGGGTCACGACCCCCAGTTTGAGAACCCCTGTTTTAAATGAAGCGCTCCATGCTACACTGAAGTTAGTTATGGAAACATTTCACCATATTTACTAACATAATAGAAATGGGCAGTGATTATTTACAGCAACTTTGATAGTGAATAACAGCCTAATTTTCCCACCATTGCTCACTGGGAGTAGTAACTTATGTCATGGCTATAGGGCTAACTGCACCTCTCTCCACTTTCTCTGAGTTCACCCCCTTAGGTATCAGGCCTTGTGCTTTTATCTCTCCTAAGGTGAAATTCTGCAATTCTTCCACTCTTAGACCAGGCCTTGGACTACAGAACCCTGTACGCTCTCAATAGTGCCCACCCAGCTGGTCTGACTGGGTTCAGCACCTGCGGTTCTTCGCTTTGGGTGTCTGTGACCAGCGCTGTATACAGCAAGCAGACAGCTCTCTATAATCAAAGTATTGTTTAACAGTAGGAACAAAGCATTTAGGGCAAAAAAGGATTTTAAAACAAAAAGTCTACTTGAATGTCTATCTTACCTAAAGGTTTTCCATCCTCTGATGGTAGCTTAGGCAGGCCTAACTTCTTCAGACACCCCAGCATGTCCTGCGTCAGTCTGGGCCCCCTGAACAACTCCCCCCAACAATTACCATCGCTTGAGAGGGTGTTCTTTTTAAACTGCTCCAGTCCTTTTGATCTTCTGGTTCCCAGTCCTTAGCTCTGTTTGCCAAAACCAGTTCTG